TGATGAGCCATGAGCTTAGATCTTTCCCTGCCTTCCCTGTTCTCATGGCTGTGCCTTCTGGGCAGTGTGTGTGTTGAAAAATATGTTGACTCAGCTCTGCTTTTTCCACTGACCTGCTACCCTGGGTCCAGTCACTTACTTCCTGCTTGGGTCTTCCTGCCAAATTACTTCTCAGAATTTTTGCAGTCCTCCTGCTTGTGTCTTCCTCCAAGCACCCTCCCTTGGAGTCCTTACCCTCCACTTTCATATTGAGAGTCCATCTCTTGAGCAACTAKCTCCTGTTCCCATTTTTCCCTTCATACGTAATTGGCTTTTATTGGCAGGTAGAGTTCTTAAGTTTACTTTCATTTTTATCAATAAGGAAATTCAGAGAGAGTAAGAGACTTGCCCACAGTGCAGCACAAACCTAGAGCAGAACCACGTCTCCTGCTTTTCCTTCTCTCAGCCCAGGCTGCCTACTCCCCATGTCTTACTTTATAGAAGTTCTGCATGTTCTGTTCTCCTACCAGGCATTTGAGGAAGATCTGGAATGTTACCCATGTCCTCTGCTATACTCAAACATCTGTGATGTGGTGACCGCTCATCCACTTATTACTCCCACTTAAAGAAGTTAATACCCTTTTATATGTCACTTTACTTACATACATACATACATACAAATTAATTAATTAATTCTGATAAATTAAATTAATTCTGATAAATACAACTATTTTATCCTAACAAACCTTTAAATTAGTTCTTATCCTCTGTTTATAGGTGAAGAACTGAAGCTTAGAACTGTTAGGTAACTTAAGTTTTGTGTTACTTATTTACTTCTCAGAATTTTGCAGACCTCAGCTTAAGTCCCCAAAATGTATAGCATCACAATAAAAAAAAAATTAAAATTAAATCTTCCCCAGATCCGGGGTATCCTCTCATTTCTACAAGCACAGCTCCCCCTATAAACACACACACACACATTTAGAGTCTGGAATCGGTTCTAAAATATCAGAGCCAGATGAGGAACTGTTGGAAAACTCTACCATTTTCTTCTATCCAGAATTATGTACTGCTTTTCCCATGCAGTGGAATATATTGGGGTCACAGGCTTATAATTCTAACACAAAGATAGAATAACTCTTTTTTTTATTTGTTTTTGTAGTTATAGATAGACAGAATACCTTTATTTTATTTATTTTTATGCAGTACTAAGGATCAAACCCAGTACCTCACACATCCTAGGGAAGCRCTCTGGTACAGCCCCAGCCCCCAAGATAGAACAATTCTTGTAAAACATTACTTAGGAGGATTAAATCATTTCTAAAATGCAGTTTATGAATAATTTCTGCTTCATTGATCTGTCACTTTGAATAATGGAGAATAGGAGTGTGAGTCTTTAAGCATTTCTGGTATGAACTTCCCCAGAAGATGGCTTATGCTTTTGTATCCAGAGAAGACATTTCCCATGATTCATACAAAATTTAAGAAGTTTTTGTTTATTAGATAACAATAAGTCATGATGCTGACATGGGACTTGATTGAGGTTTTGGATCTTGAACACTTCTAGCAGTTTCCTAAGTTTACTACCCTCTTCTCTTTGTTGTTCTTTCCCATGCCTCACCTTAATACTTGGCCTTGAATGTAAGAGAAAGGACAGTTCATAATACAAGGACTTAAGGGCTAGCTGTTGATGCAGATGGGCAGCCACCAGGCTCCATGACTGATAGGCTGTCAGCATCCTACAGCCTTTTTTGGGCCTCCCATTACATGTGTTTCAGGAGTTTCATGTACAGTGAGCACAAATTACCAGTAATAGCTTTAGATGTGACCTCATACGAGAGTCTTTACATTTTAAASAATCAAAGTCCCTTAGGTAAACCAAAAGAATGAATCTCTAATAGAGTAGAATATCCCAGTCTTTGTATCTGTTGCTTTCTTGCTATAAGAGCTTGGCCAAATTACTTCACTTTTTGGAGTTGGTCTCTTAATTAATGAGAAGGCTAAATTGGGTAAAATCTGAGGTTTCTTTTTTTTTTTTTCTTTTTTCTTTTTTTTTTTTTAAAGAGAGAGTGAGAGGAGAGAGGGAGAGAGAGAGAGAGGGAGAGAGAGAGAGAGAGAGAGAGAATTTTTAATATTTATTTTTTAGTTCTCGGCGGACACAACATCTTTGTTGGTATGTGGTGCTGAGGATCGAACCCGGGCCGCACACATGCCAGGCGAGCACGCTACCGCTTGAGCCACATCCCCAGCCCCAAAAAAAAAAAAATCTGAGGTTTCTTCCAACACTAACCTAATAAATGTACCATTGTGCCTGGATGTGGAGACCCATCCTCCTATGCTGAGGCAGACAGCCAGATCCTCCAGGCAGTGTGTAAAGGGATCTTTGAAAACATATCTGGGCTCCTTAGTGCCTTGCCTGTGACTTAGAGCAAGTCACACCTTCTGAGTCTTTGATGTCCCCCAATCTGTCTCATCACAGAGACCTCCTTTTTTTTTTTTACCTTCTAATATGCTTTTTGCTAATGGCTAATAAAATGATTAGATTCTTGTTAAAGTCCACTGCTCGACCAGCACGCTGGTTTCATACAAGAGGTTTGTAGCATAGAAGTTAACTAGTGAGATCGAAATAAACACACAAGACTCAATTACCTTTTTCTGGCAACAATGAATCTGTCCCTATGGTTTTGTCTCCTGCAGAATTTCCTTTTTTTGTTTTTTTTTTTCCTTTTCAGTACTGGAAATTGAATATGCTAGGCAAAAATTCTACTACAGAGCTACATCCCCCACTGGCTTTGAGACACGGTCTTGCTAAATTGCTGATATAGTGTTACACTGTATAGTTGAACAGACCCCCAGTGTTTTATTCCCCCTGCTTTTGAGAAGTTTCCTTTCCTCTCCATCGTTGTTGTTGTTAGAGTTGTAGATGGACAGCATGCCTTTATTTTTGTGCAGTGCTGAGGATCGAACTCAGTGCCTCACACATGATAGGCAAGCACTTTGCCACTGAGCTACAACCCTATCCCCTTTTTCTCCCTTCTTTTCTTCAGTGTAAATCAGGTATAAATGAGAAATGTGCAGCATATTGTCATGTAATTCAAAGACATTTATATTCCATGTGCTCCAAAGATGATAAATTAGCTTCACATAAATAAAAATAACAATCTCTTTTTTTGTTTCAGTGTGTTAATTATACCAAAACAACTTATCTTGCCAAGACTCTAGAATCTGTTCTTTCATTTGGTCTGTGTAGCTGAAGACATGTCTGGGCTCCTTATGACCCCCTTAAAATATGATTCCTGCCTTTTAATGAATATCAGTTTATTTATCCCTTAGCTCATTTTCCAACATCCTAGAAGACTACAGATTCATTAAAATGTTATRTACACATGCTTGAACTTTAAACCACTTATTTTTTCAAACACACTTTAATTTTGGTTAAACTGGGCAAGAGTTAGAATTTGTGACTTGAGGCTCCTTGTAACAGAGGCATGAGCTCTTAATTCCCTTCTTCCTGTGGGATTCTGTGATTCCTTTTTTTTTTTTTTTTAAGTTAATGCTCAACCTTTAGTCACTTAAAGGTAAGTAGAGGGTTGTTGATGGATCAGGGCTAAAGGAATTATTTTGGAATGAACCTTAATGTATATACATTGCTCTACATTAAATACCAGGTATGACAAATCTGGTGGCTTCTTGTTTATTTGTTTGTTTTTGACTTCTAATGTCTTTTTATTTGTTAGCTAACAGACATCAACAGTAATTCATCTGCAGGCCTAAGTCAACTGTTTTGAGATTTGACCATAGAATAATTAAGAATAGGAACATGTTACATATACATCATTGACAGTCAGTAAATGATTTTTTAAGTTACCTTATGTGAGACTGAATTGATTATAAACTGTTTCTAAATGCAAATTTTTAAAAAATAGGTTGAAAACTACGCCCCTCAAAAGGAAACAAATACACAAAGTTTTGTATGCAAATGTTTATGGTAACCTTATTTTTCATAGCTGACAACTGGAAACAACCAGAAGCCTATTAACTGGTAGACGGATCAACAAAATGTGGTACAGCCACACAATAAAACAATACTCCTCAATAAAAGAGAACAAACTTCTGATATAGGCTACAACATGGATGATTCTCAAAAATACTTTGCTAAATGAAGGAAATCAGACACAATAGACTACACATTGTGTGGCTCCATTTAAAATGGAAATTCTGGCCTAGKCTTGGTGACAAACATCTGTAATCCCAGTGACTTAGAAGCTGAGGCAAAAGGGTCCGAAGTTTGAAGCCAGCCTCAGCAATTTAGCAAGACCGTGTCTCAAAGCCAGTGGGGGATGTAGCTCTGTAGTAGAATTATTGCCTAACMTATTTAATTTCCAGTACTGAAAAGGAAAAAAAAAAAAAAAAAAGGAAATTCTGCAGGAGACAAAACCATAGGGACAGATTCATTGTTGCCAGGGTCTAGGGTGAGAGAAACATATTTACTATGAAGGGGCACAATGAATTTTTTTAAACGTTGGGAAATATTCTATATCATTATTTCAGTGGTAATTTTATGAATGTGTACATTTGTCTAAACTCACCAAATTGTACACTTGAAATTGGTGATGTCTATTAAATGTCAATTATACCTCAAAATAAGCAGAGAAACAAACCTAGAGCACATCTTACCACTTGTCTTGGAAATAGYCTTTTGTAAACTGAATTTGGAAAACCTGTTTTTAATAAGATACCAATAGTATTAATTTCTATAGTGAATCTTTACCAGATATTGACCCCTAAAATGTGTTTGCATAGAAAACAATGAGTGAATACTGGGCAGGGTGGCACATCTCTGTAATCCTGGTAACTTGGGAGGCTAAGGCAGGAAGATTGCAAGTTTGAGGCCAGCCTCAGCAATTAACAAGACCCTTACTTAAAATAAAAAATGAAAAAGAAAGAAAACAGTGAGTGAGTCACTTGCTTTAATATCTCATTGCTTTTTTGCTTTCTCTTTACCTCTCTGCCCAACCTAGAAAAACTAATTGAGGGACTCAAATCTCCTGACACGTCTCTTCTGCTCCCTGAACTCTTGCCTATGGCAGATCCTTTTGGTAGCACTTCTGATGCTGTAATTGGTAAAGTCACCATCTGTTTCTTCAATCATGCATGAATGTGTATTTTGAATTAAGTGTCTGATTAACAGATCCTAGAATGAATTTCATATGAATGAACAGGAATGTGAAGAATTCAGTTGCAAAAGCATCATGAAAAAATTGGTTTCTAACTGGACCTTACTTTACTGAACTTGATGGGATATAGCAGATTCTTCCTTAGAAGGCCAATGCATGTACCAGAAAATGCTTTGTCCAGTAGTTAAGCTCCTTGAATAGAATCTAGGGCAAGACTCAGTCTACTTATTTGCTTATATTTTTTTGTGTTCCAATAGCAAGGCAGGCAAAACCTACAAAATGTCCAAGGCCTCTGTGCTTTAGGAGGAGCAATCATTCGAGACCTGGTAATGCCTCTGGGGAAAAATGTCCTAGAATTCACAAATGCCATGGCCCTACAGAAAAAATGGGCCTTCAGTTGAGAAACATGACTTGGTGCAGAATGCCTCCCAGCTACACCATGGGATGGAGATGAGATGGATTTGAGGCTTTTGCATTAGATTAGAGGATGTTTACTCTAAATTTGTTACTTAAAAAAAGCAGAAGAATTTAAGATGCCTTTTAGCTAATCTCTTCTAACATGGTAGAAATCTCATGATTGAAAGAGGCTTGTGTTCCATGCTCTAACAGTGAAATCTAGACACTAAAAGCAGCAGAAATAGTCACTTTTTGTGCTTTCCATCTTGCTGAGGCTGGTATTTTAGCAACCTGTGTACAGAAATTTCACAGAAGAAAGCCTTCACAGAATTTCCTGAAGAAACTTCTGTCTTCCTTCCCTTACCCTTTCCTCTCCTTTCTTAATGCTCTGTTACAAAAGAAAAAGCTGATGTTGCCGTTGAGAGTCTCATACCAGGACTGGAACCCCCAGTTGCCCAGCGCCTCCCATCTCAGACGGAGTCTGTGACCTCAAACCGCACAGGTCAGTCAGGGATCTCAGTAGCTGAAGAGTCTGATCAATGTGGCTTTCTACCTCTGGCAGATGATCATCAGCTTATTTTTTAGCCTGGCTAGTTTCTCCTAGAGTGGATACTTGTTCTTATAGCCCTGGTGTCTAGATGTTGGATATATTTTTCCTTGCTGAAGAACTAGGTACTTTTTGGATTTGTGCTCTTTTTAGAGTAGGCCCTAGGCTTACCCTGGTTATAGAATTTCTTTATTCAAGATTCTTTTTACTGGTAGCAGATCTCTCCACCTCCTTAATTAAAGAACTCTGCAGAGTGACCATGCTGTAAACCCCCTCTAGACTGCCCAGCTGTCTTTCCCACCTGAGAACATCAGTGGGTATCTGCAGAGCGCATCTCCTATGGGTTGACATTTTTTACCCAGAACAGTGCTTTAATCATCTAGGGGTGGTTTGCTGTTAAATTGTAGGCAAAACCATTGAGTCTATAATTACCTTGATAAAAGTGTCTGATTATCTGACTCAGAAAATCAGCAGTTAGAGGTCTTGGAAATGTGAACATAAACTTACTCAGGTGAAAAAATTTACCCCAGAAGATAAAGTGGTTCGTTTTCTTTGTCCTCACTTGGATATTTTCTCCTAGAAAACTCTCCCAAAAAACAATCCTTGTTTAAATGCTTGMACTCTGAATTTTTGTCTTCTTTCCATTCTTTAACTGAAAACAAATTACGTGTTCAAAGGAGTAATTTAAATTCAAGAATACTAACAAGACACATTWAGAATGGTAATCTGATTGAGTTCTAGAAAGTATTGTTTAATCTCATCACATTCTACTAATAAAGAGCTAGATCAACTCTCCTGGTTAATTTCAATACCAATTTCAATTTCAGTGTGGTAAATCTTTTCCTGTGAATGTTAGGGAAATGAAACAAATTGCAAAGTCCTTTTTCTGAAATGGTACTTGCTGAGAACTAAGTTGTTAAAATTGTACTGGCATCCAAATCAGACTTGCTTAACCAGCAACCTCTGAGCTAAAATGTCTCCTATACTTCCAAGTTAATGTTAAGAGGAGTCTAGAAATACATGTTGATGTGGATAGAAATCCAGAGGACTTAACAAGTTTCTTTTGGTTTTCTTTCTCCCGCTTGGCTTGAATGTATAACTTGTAAATGCAATAATTTAAAGGCTTAGATCTAATCTCATGATATTGTTATATGTGCCATTTAATGCTGTCACTGACCTGGAATGCTGTTAACTGGACTCAGATTCTCTCACTGGGGAAGATTCCCTGCTTGACTGCTCTCTGCTTTCTAACCCTACTGCTGACCTTCTGGAAGAGTTTGCTCCCATAGCAATCTCTGCTCCAGCCCATAAAGGTAAATTCTTCTTCTGAGGCCCCCAGGTATCCCCGGAGGAGAAGAGCTGAACAGCTCCTAAGTTTCCCTTTTCAAAAGTCTTTGCTATAAAGTATTTAAACTTCCTTTTATAGAAAACTTGAGTTTGTATTCTTAGTCACTGTTATGATACCTCTCAGAATATCTAATAAGCCTTAGACAACAGATTGGTGAGGGTGTTACTTTCTGGTAAGAACTGGATGCAGGTGATATTTTACGTTGCCTTTGAGCACCATATACCTTGACAGTCAACCAAGAAAAATGCTTGAGCTGACTGTCCACTCACTCACTATAATTATTAATGTGATACTTGTTGACCTTGGAAAGTAGAGTTGTTCATCAAATGTGATTCAGGGTTTTGAACAATTATGACTACAGTAAAGAAACAGGTGTTCCTCAAAAGTCGCTCTTCAGAGATTGAATTTTAAACAGTTTCAAATTTTGTCCATTTTAAAATCATGATTGATTACTTGATTTTTCTTCCTCATCTGGCATTTTTACTTCTTAGTTTTGGATTAATATTGWTTTGAAATTCTGCTGGACAGAGGTAGTTTGAATTGAGTTTTGTTCAGCTAGAAGTTTGTGACAATGGTAGGTACACTGACTTCCTCTATGTAGGCATTTACTAAACTTATTTCTCTGCTTGAGTAATGAAAGTGGTTTTCTAGAAGGAGAAAATACATAGAAAAGGAACAGCTGAAGCCCTTTCTAAGGGAAATTCAAGAAGGAAGCTGCCCAGAGATGACTAAAAGTAATTAGCTCATGGTTTGCAGTGGTAATAGCTGAGCTTTTGTTTTTATCTCTGATAGCATTAAAATGATTTTTTTTATAGCATATGTAAAGGGAAGTTACCTGATTAGACAGTGGTGTGTGGYAGGAGTATGCCAGCAGCAGTATCTAATTACAGAGAAACATCCCTTGCAAAATAGGTGCTCAGCTAGCACTTGTTGGTACTGTTGTTTTAATTAGATTGGAGAAAACATTTTTAAAAACTTCTGCTAGAAGTCTCAGTGCAGGAGATTTTATGCCCTACTGCTCCCTGAGGCAACTAAGTCATTTGAAAGTCTTTTCCCATTCACAGAACAATGAGTCCTTCTATAAGTATTTTTACTTGCCTTGTGTATACTTACCTATTGTTGGTTTGGGGTCTCTTGGGGATAGGGATTGAACCTAGGGCTTCACACATGCTAAGCATGTGCTGTTCCACTGAGCTGCACCCCCTGCCCCTTCAGTCATCACTTCTTAAAGAACTGCTAGTTCTCTCTCCCCGACACTCCTAGTTTTGAGTTTTTTTAACATGTTAGCCAGGCCTCTTTTCCCTCAATAAAGAAAACAGCTGACTCATTCTTGTGCCTTTCTGAATTAGTAACATTGAAGAGATACTTCACAATAATTATAGTTAATGGTACTACAAATAGTAGAGAAAATTCTCCCAGTAACCCTTCTCCCTAATCATTTATGAAAGACTTAACATGGCCAATTCTAAAGCATTTTCCATATCTTTATGTTTTCTGTTTCCCTACTTTTTATTTCAACTCAGAAAAATAAGTACTTTCAACTTTAAGAACTCCAGTAATTAAATATATAAATATATTGTTGGGAACTTTGTGCCTCTTTCCCTTTCTCTCTGTTTGCTAATCTCTACCTCTGTTGTTTCTACTTGTGTGCTTGCCTTCTGTATTAAGCTGCAGAAGATAGTAATCTCATCTCAGGTTTTGATGTCCCTGAGGGCTCGGAAAAGGTGGCAGAAGATGAGTTTGACCCTATTCCTGTATTGATAACCAAAAACCCACAAGGTAAGAAAGAGGTGGGGGAATAAGGAAGAGCTTGACATCTGCTCTTATCAAAATAATAATGTACCTAATCTGCAAGTGGGGGAAAGAGTCAACATTTAGTGAACATTTAGTGAAGGACATTGGGGGCAATGACAATCATTCATTGTAGGCTGGACCAGTATAGATAGGTAGAGATGGAGATACTGATAGAGGTACCTAAAGCTTGACCATGATGTTTATGTAGAAGTAGTTTGACTAACAACTAGTTTACAAAGTATCAAGCCAAAAATAAAGTGATCTTCAATCAGTGGAAATTTAAAGGTATATATCAAAAGTTCTTAACTTTTTTTTTTATGATTAGAACAATCTGTAATAAATATTCTTTCCAAATAGATTAACAGTGGTGCTTTTGTATTAGCCACATCTTTTGGACATTCTCAGAGCATGCTTTTTCCTCTTTGATGAATCGAAATCACTTGAACATGCCATAAAACACTGAATTGCCATCAGACCATGTATTTATTTTTTTAAAGCATGTTCTTATTACAGTGTTTTAATAACTAATTTTTCCCCAAATCAAAAATTGATCAAGGGGATGGCTTGATGTTAACAGAAAGCTAGTGTAAAGCCAGCAATTCTCAGGCAACGTACTGTTTCGAGAAGAGCTTCATCTTTATAAAGTGTCTGCCTATGCTATGGTGTACACAGAGTGCCTAAACTTTTGGTGGGAGGTGGTAGATAGCTAACTTTTATGTTTAAAAATCATTACATATGAGACTTTGCAAATGTAAAATGTTGCCTCTCTAGGTTTCTGTGTTGTTTTTTTTCTCCTTTGCTTTCTCTGCACATCTAAACCTTAACCCTCTGTGTTTTGTACTGAATTCCTATCTCTCCACTTCCAGGTGGGCACTCTAGAAACAGCAGTGGGAGCTCTGAGTCCAGTCTTCCCAACCTAGCCAGGTCTTTGCTGCTGGTGGATCAGCTCATAGACCTGTAGCGGTGACCCAGTAGCAGATGCAGTTCTGTAACCTTCATGCCGTAATACACATTTTCATTACGGAGTTACGAGAAAAATGATTTTTTAAAAAATCTGCAAATAAAGGGCCCTCCAGCCCTTTTCTCCTACCCCTTGCCTTCTCCTATAGAAATGATAAGGAAAGAAAATCACTTTGGCCCTCCAGATATATTCCTTGGCCAGTTCCTCCCTGTTAGTTTGCTGTGTTTTCTCATTAACCTTCTTCAATAGCATTATCTTAAATCAAGCGCTAGATGCCATGAGCTTCACTTCTGCTGGAATTGACTCCACCAAAAGCTTAACTGTAACTGAACATAGTGAACTGACACCTTTGTCTCATTCTTGCTAGGAATGGCCTCCCAAATCAATCCTCCCAGCCCCTGTCTCCTTGGCCAGATGCCGATGAATATGTTTTCCTGTTTTTGCTTTTTATTCTGATGCATTATCATGAGGACCCGGCTTCTTCAGCTGGTTTTAACTCTAGGCAGTAGCCTGGAGATGGGTGTGGTTTAAGAGAGGGTAAAACTCACTGATAGTATATGTTTGAGAAGAGAAATTGAGCCCAGCTCTGGCCTACCAACTTTGCCCTTGTTTAATCATAGACTTAGCCAAGAGATTTACACCCCATGCAACCCACCCAGCATTCGTCCAGCTTTCTGGCTTCCACTGAGTCGTGATTTCTCAGATCTGGAGACGTGACTGCAAGTACTTGAGATCCTTGGATAAAATGTGTACGTTATATAAACCCCAAGTATTGCCATTCCTTTTCATGTTACCTGGCTCAAGCCAGAACCTCAGAATTAGACCAAAATAAGACAGTGGTGGTAATATGATACCTTTTATTAGAAGACTTTTCACTGGGGGGTGGATAGGGGAGGGGAAGGAATTGTAGCAGAAACAGATGTATTTTTCTTGTGATTTTTATTTTGAATCAAATATTGTAAATTGTGTATAAATGAAGACACTGAATAGTTCTGTTTCCACTTGGCGTTTCAAGTCCGATATCAGGTGTCTGTACAGGGTTTTGATCACTTTCCCTTGTATAACCACACAGCGATTCTACAGTGTAACATATGGAATTATTTTGAGTAGATTGTGTGTCTTGCTATAAGCTTCCAGCAGGTCCTGTCTCTATAGAATAAGCATGTTGTTTATTTTCAGATAATCAGAAATAAGTGTGCTGACAAGCTGGGCACAGTTTGGCTACTTACCTTTCTCTCTGATGTTTAAATTGAAGGCTGCAGCCAATGGAATATGTTCAGATGGTTTTCCCTGGCTTCCTAGATTTAAAAACCAAACAAGGCATAATTCTTCACTAACCTTAGACTATTGTTAATAAAATAAATAAAGGCCCCTGCACTGACATGACAACATGCCTCATGGTCACCCTCTGTATATGTACTTACTCACTAAAGTGTATTTTATTTCCGTACATGGAAAGCACTTTTATAAAATCACCCTTTTGAAAAGAAGGGGCACAGAGAACCACCTTGTTCTCTTTCTCSAGTGCCATTGTCCATGATCAAAAGGGACAAACTTAGTTGATCAGATTTGTATAAATAAAGTTCCAAGTCCATTTGCTTGTTCTCTAGCTAGTACTTTTGTTTCTTCTTCCTCACATTTGCACTTTAAGGGTGGGGGGATGGGGAGGAGTTTAACAGCAACAAGAGCCTGCAGACACTGCACTCTGGAGGGCCACCTTTGACCCCAGCAGTGGAAGAGTAGCCTGGAAAGGCTTCAGAGGACAAGTCTGAACCTTTCATTCTTCCTTCTGACTTCAAATACTTCCCTTGCCAGCTGAAATTAGATGAGCTAAATAAAGGCTTCTGCTAGGAGAACAGATCATTTCCAAAGTTGAGAGAGGCACAGCCTCCTGCTGAGGACAGAAAAAAAAAAAGGCCGTGAAGAGCTCTCTGTGATTGGGTAGCAGTGGAAATAGGACATGGTTTACCCCTTTATGGACAGGAAACTTGCTGCAGATCAGAATTGTATCCTCTTTCCTGGACACAGAAAGAATGTATAAATTAACGAAGGAAATGTTTATTTTTAAAGAAGGATAATGTTTAGTTCTATGTTTTCATATTTGATTTTTTCATATATATGTGTTAGAAATATAATGAACTATAGTTTCTCAATTTAGTTGAAACCATGAAGCGTACAGTTTAGAATAGGTGTCTCTAAATTGTTCCTTTCATGCATTACCCATAATTACATTGAAATATATTAGGTAGTCATTTGGCTCAATAAAGCTTAATGGAGACAGTTAATGAAAATAGACTAGAAGCCAGAGATGATGGTAGATGCTTGAAGAAGATAATATCAAAGAACTATCTTGGGCTTATTCTTTAAGAGTACAGCCTCTTTCTGCTTTTCTTTTGAGGAATGCACCTGAGTGATTTGGTAAACAGGAACTTCCTTAGTTTATAGCATCATCTCTGAGCTGAAAGAGTTTATTTGAAATGAGCATAATATTGTAGTAATTGATGGACTTCTGGAGCAAAAGAGTGAGTTATAAGAGAGACCTTAGAGACCATCTGCTAGTCCATTCACTTCATTTTACAGGTGTGGGATCTGAACTGAATTAAGGCAGGGGGTGGAGAGAAGAGGCCTGGGCAGGCCAGGCCACCTGGAATCTCATTCCAACCCTTACCAGGCACTGGCTGAGTAATTTTTGGCAGGTACTTTACCTCTCAGAGCTGCTGTCACTTACTTATACAATGATGGTGTGACTGGATAGATGATCTTAAGGTTTTAGAAGCGTAAGGTCCTAAGTATGTATTGTTAGGCTTTGAAGGACTATGAAGGATTTATATAATCTTGATGTTCTTCAGTTATTGTCTGTATTCCTGGTATTATTATAGCAGCATTATATGTTAGAGAATTATAATGGGCTTTATTAACCTGTTTACTCTTTCTTGGTTATCTGAATAGAATCCTAAAACATCACAGAGTTTTGGATGTAGATTTTTTTTTAATGTTACACTCTTGCACATGCACCCACATGTACACCCCTACATATTCCAGTAAAATAATATTTTAAAATGTATGATCAGGGATCTGCCATTAAAATTGAGCAAATACTATGTGCATATGTTTATATGCATTTGCTTTTATTCCAACTGTTTAAGAGTAATAACTATCCTAGCAAACATCACAAATTGGGGGTTTTTTCCCCTTTACAGCATTCAAATAATGAAATCACCAAATTCAATTCCCAATGTTTAAAAAAATACAGTTCTCAGAGGAGATAAAGTTTAAATGGACACTTCTAAATATGATTATAATCATTACAATTAATGATTTTTTTTAGCAGACACATTTGACATCTAATTGAATGATGTTTTCTTCAAAGGTATCCTAGTGCACTTGGGAAGTTAATACTTATCTTAGTGATGCTGTCATCATTCACATTCTTTTTAAAACTCATCTTCTTAAAAATAACATTAAGGAACGCATAAGCAAATCATTTGCATTATCAAATTATACACTTTCAGCATCTGAAAGTATATTCTATTCACTTTTTCCACTACTCCTGCTTCTGGGTAACATTTAGCTATTTCCAAAAAGCAAAATCACCCCAGTCCAGTAAGATGAAGAGTGGTTATTACTGAAGAGAGTATAAAGAAGAATCCACAGAAAATTCCCAGAGAGACCTTACAAGAGAAAATGAACATGATCAGTCTTACTTTCCTTAATACTCTGAATAAGGGAACTTCTATTATAACTCCCATCTTTAGTATAGTTTAGAAAATTGAAAGATATGAGTTTTTAAAATACCTCTGAAAGAATCTGTTACTTTGTTCAGTGTCATTTGATATTGGAGTTGGCTCTTCTTCATCAGAATTAATTCATTAGAATTATAACTTAGGTTGCTAATAATTGGTGCAAAACAAACCCAGGAAAGTACCTGTTTTTCTCAAGATGCTTTGTTTTACTTTTAATACCCATTTTCTACTCTCCCAATAGAAAATTGGTGATTTTGATTCAAAACAACATAACCTGGGGC